TTGGGGGGGGGGGGATCAGAAGTAGGAACTGTGATCCAGTTCTGTTTGTTGCCTGGCATTACATGAATCCAACCCTGATTGATGCCTCTCAGTGATTTCACAAGTTAACTGCTAAAAAATAACAGGGGAATTGGCTCTAAGATCTTACTCCTTGTGGGCGGAAACACCGATTTGCACTGATGAAATGCGAGGATCTGGCCAGAAATAGTGTTAGGGGAAAAAAAGAAAAGGAAAAAACCCCAAGCCTTTTCCATCCTCAAAGGCAAAGCAAGCCCGTTTTTGAAAGATCAGCCATATTCTGTCAAATCCCAGCCTGGAGAGAAAGTCCTCCTGGCCAACCATAATACATCTGTCCTGCTGCACGTCCTGGCGGGGACTGCCCCAGACAGCAGGTCCATAGAGTCCATCTGCCTTGGTGCCTTGTGCCCGTCCCTGCCCAGAGCCCTGCCACAGCGGCCAGAGCCTGCTGGGCAGGACAGAGGCAGGGCGCTCCAGCCCATGGCTCCTCTGCACTGCCGCACCACCTGCCCTGAGGCTGTCCCATGCCTAACCCAGAGCTTGCCTCGATGGGACTGCTTTTCAGAGAACCTCAGCAATCAGTTCCCAATTACCATCACCACTGCAGAGATCTCGAGCTTCCCCCGGAAACCCCTCTGATTTTCTCTGCCCCAGCAAGGACGGTGGTGTTGCTCATATTTCACCAGGCATCCCGGCTGCCATACCTGGCTTGGCTTCCCTCCTGCACAGATTCATCCGTGACACACCTCAGCCTTGCCCCAAATTCACCAAACTGCTGCAAAATCTGACTCGTCCAAGTTAAGAGGAGTTCTCTTAATTCTCTTGAGCTCACAAATACTGCTGAGGTGACAGCAGATCTGTTTGTTGCATCTAAACATCCCTCTGGATAGAGTGACCCCTCCTGGATAATGCTGGTATTCTCTGAACACGGGAAATCTTTTCTCAGCTGCCCGTGGGAGTAAACTGGCAGTATTAGTAACAAAATATACCGTAGGCCCAGATAATTTCTACTGCTGAAACAGTAATGAGCCACCACAACCTCTCATGTCATTATGTGAAATTCATTAATATAGAAAGTAAATGATGCTTCAAACATAGACCAACGCGTGTAATTAAAGTGCAGGGTAGATTGGATGGTCACTGGCACCTGGTAACCGGGATGCTTAGCCTAAGCATCACGGGAGGATCATTACGGGATGCACACGCAGAAAGTCCTTCCTTTCCCACCTGGGCGAAGCAGCGTGTGTTTGAGAGCAGGGCCTTTGGCACCCCTCGTCCCGCAGGCATTTGTCAGAACTTGAAGCAACAAAGGGCAGAAGCCGAACGGGAGGGGAAAGCCTCAGCTCCTACGCGTGGTACGCTGAACTGCTCTGTGCTGTGATACAACTCTATTCTCACTAGCTGTCCTGTGCACTGCAGTGTTTACAGCTCTGCACTGTGGCTTTGGTTTAGGCCATGCCTTATTTGTACTTTAACCTTGTTTAAAATCCTTTGAAACGAAAAAACATAATCTACCAGAAGCAGAATATTCATTGAATTGCTGTCACAAGGCTAGAGAAAAAGGCTTGACAACAGGGGATAAATTACATTCAGCTGTAAGGAAGGAAATAAATTAAAGTCTCAAGTGCTAAATAGTGACTCCTCAACCAGGCCCTGCACACCCGTAGCCAGGGGGACAATTCAAACCCCGGTGCAGTCTGGCCCTTCTTACCCCAGTTTTGTTATGATCGACCTCTAAACATGCCTTCTTGGTAGCAGGGCACAGACAAGCGAGCTGACTCCTTCTGCTGAGGGAGAGCTCCTGTCCCTCCTGCTGTCAGATGTGGCCTCCACTGCTCAGTCCATGGGCAGAGCTGTCGTGTCAGAGAGCTGAATGCTTTTTCCAGTAATGTAATCAAGTCAGTCACT